CGTGGCACGAGCCAGGCCGAGTTTGGGGGGTTTTGGTTTTATTATTTATTTTTCCTTTAGTTTTCTGTTTTCCATTTAATTCTTTTTTGATTGCTGGTATTTTACGATACTACATATTGTACACGTTATACATATATATAAATAGAATTTCTCGTAGAACTGATTATATATATATATATATATATTTCGAACTGTTAAGAATGAGATCAATATGCATGTGTATTAATTATGTGACTAGATATCGATAATGACGTAAAAATTATGAATAGTGTCCTGTCAAACGCGCGTACCCATAGCTGTCTATCAGTTTTGGTCCTTTCGGATGTCATCATGCGAATGTTCTAAAAAACGCAGTATGCACAATGATCTCTCCCATGCGCCTGCTTCAGGGCCTTTACGAGAATAGAATTTAATCAGATAATAATTAATCAAGCATGATAATTAATGGTATTGAAACTAGAATTAAAAAGATGCACTAGTGCAGAACCGGGCTATAGCCCCGGTTCGTAAGGGGCTTTAGTGCCGGTTCTATAGCCCGGAATTAAATAGATGCATGGTAGCTAACTAGTACTAGTTAATTAATTATACCTTGGATCGAAACCAATACAACATTTCTCTCCATTCGCCTGGAACATCTTTCGAATTCCTAAACTTTGCCCAAGCCCTGCCCGCCAGCAAAGAAAATGAATAAACGAGTTATTAAATAGTTGATATCAGGAAATGACGAACTAAAGAGGCCGACATATAGTTAATAATAATTGAAATTACTTGTCGACTATCCCCTTCACGGTTGAGTAGGTGTGTTTTTCTTTAAGTAGTGAGTCTAGTACTTTAATTGTTCCTTCGTCAACTTTAATGATTAACAAGATCCAATGGTAACTGCATGCACACATGTTTGCATGTCTTAATTAAGCGGGCATGTGCATAACACTCATCATCTACCCTAAACCCCTATGCACTTAATTATTAACATCTAGCTAGCTAGTAAGTAAAAACAGAATTTGTAGTACAAGACAGTGTGACTCACATGTAGTTGTAAGGAATTAGTATATGTTCATTGGTATTGAGGCGCTTCAAGAACTCTAGCATGTTTTTCTCTACCTCTTCTTGATACCATTCTTATGACTATGTTTCTTCATTAATGGTATTTGGGTCAATGAACCCAATGCCATAGCGTCCAACTTTTTTCATTTTATACATCTTCATCCTGCATAATACCACAGAAAAAAAAATAGTGAGGATAATTACAGGTAATGATCGATCAGTGAGCACTACAGCTAGCTTGAGACTTGAATTACAGAAAGAAATCACTTACAGACAATACAAACTGACGATGGATTTTTCGAGTGTGTCTTGATGGAATATCTGAAATAGTTCTGAATACTCAATGGACACAGCGAGCTTATGGAAGTAATACTCTTCCATGACTTTCACCATGAGGTCCTCTCGATTGTTACTCTTGGTAATTTTCATGTACCAATCATGCAATTGATACATTCTCGTTGGGAGGTTCTTGACCTCCTCATGCATTACCAAAGGTTGGCCGCGGGCATATTTCCATTTTATCTCCTCCTCTTTAAGCCCAGGCATGAGCTCAATCTCGAGAAGTTGTCCAACAGTGATACCGAGCATTTCAGCGTTCCGTCTATGCTCGTCGGTTATTACCAGCTGACCGGCGCCAGTACTCTGAAGTGTTGGTACAACAAGCGGGGGGGTCGATTGCGCCGCCTGTTCTCCTAGCTGGGGAACAGTTTTCCCGCATTTTTGGCCAGCTGCTTGGCTCGAGCTCGAGCTCGACCCTTTTGTCATGCTCGATGTGCCTTCCTGATTTGGCGCTCATAGTCTGAGTCAACAGGCTTGGGAGCTGGTGGTCGCGCCATATGAATAAAGTGGTCAATCTTCTCCTCGGGCACTTTCTCCCTTGGCCGCGGTGCTGGTTTTGGTGCGAAATGGGCCTCCACTTGGGCCTTCACTATGGCTTTGTTTTGCTCCTTGGTCATGTCGTAAGGCCTCTGCGGAAGATGCGCGAGGCTTTTTGGACCATATTGAAATCGCTTGCCTCCGCTTGTACCTCATGTACTACCTCGACTTGTAGCACTACGCACCATAGCTGCGGTGACTCTCTTCTGTGATTGCTCAGGCAACGGAGACGGCTGACGCGGTGTCGGACTTGGAGGAGGAGGAGTGGCCTCACGCGTTGGCTGAGTTGAAGCAGGAGGAGTGGCCTCACGCGTTGGGTGAGTTGAAGCAGGAGGAGTGGCCTCACGCGTTGGCTGAGTTGAAGCAGGAGAAGTGGCCTCACGCATTGGCTCAGTTGAAGCAGGAGGAGTGGCCTCACGTGTTGGAGGAGCGTGAGTCGTCTGCTCCTCGTCACCTCCTGAAATTTCAAGCTCTAGTTGACGCGGTGTCGGTGGCCTTCAAAAGATGATGCAATCCTTTTTCCATAGGATGATACGATGTATGGCCTCTCCCAGTCGTCACCTCCAGGAATGTCAAGCTGTAGCCCCGAATAATGGTCCACCACCTCATCAACCACGACACGAGCATAGCCGGCTGGAATCGTTCTGCAATGGTAGGTTGCTCCGGGGGGATATGTATAAGCAACGGCGTCCGCCACCTTCACGGATATGTTCTTTATTTTGAAGTGTAGCTCACAGTTAGTGTTCTTCATGATGTCATCCATAGGGTATCTATCCAGCAGTATGTCGCCCGGGGCGGAACCCACGCTGCTTCTCGGCACGGATGGGATGGTGCTATCCAATGCTGGATCATGCGCTAGCTGCGACCGCTGCTGAGACCCCCTTTCCTGGCTAAGCGAGTCGATCTGCTCCTGCTGCCTCTGCAATTTGAGTGCCAAGTCCACGTGCGCTGATTCTAGGCCTTGAAGTCGTTCTGCTTCCTGCTTCATCTGCTCGTCCTCCAGCTTCTTTTTCTTCTCCTCCTCCATCTTCTTTCTCGCATGGCTTCTGTAGTCGGCGTTCCACTCAGAAAATCCCTCATACCACGGAACAACGCCCTTGCCTCGTGTTCTTCCCGGGTGTTCAAGATTTCCCAGGGCGCGCATAAGCTCGTCATTCTCTCTGTTGGGCGTGAACACCCCCTTTCGAGCTTCTTCTATTGCTTCAACTAACTTTTCATCGGCTCCTGTAAGACATGCCTTCTTCGAAACCAAGCCTGT